AAGGATATTGATGGTCTTCGCAAAAAGAAACCTAGCACAGCGGAAAGGGCACTCTCCGCACACTTGATGTGTTGTAAGACGAGATCTGGTTCTAGTCTTCGCCTTCTCACTACAGACTATGTGATTTGGGCCTGTGGCTGAGCCACTCTGAGCTTCGGCATCTCTGGAAGTGTGATGTGGTCATGAATATGACCTTCACTGCCTGTGGGGTTGTTGGGAGTCTGATATGCTTGACTTTAAATCCTGGCTATGCTGCTGTCTAAATGTGTCGTCTTTTCTAATCTGTGAAATGAGCAACATAATTCCTCTTTTGCAAGTTTCTTTAAGGATTAATGGATACAATGAATATGCAAAGTGCAGCGTCATATCCATAGTCCAGTCCTTTTTTAAAAAGCCCACTGGCATCTTTCTAATGGTTTGGAGTCATTTAAAAGAAAAGACCTAGACAGAGAAAGATGCTTGGGCAAGAATAGCTGCCCGACAGGCTAAAGCCTCCTTGTCCATAAAATGACAGGTCAGTCGTTCTTAGCCCCAGGTGCACATTTGAATCACTTGGGACAATTAGGGAGGTTCCTCAGGGTGGGGCTCACCTCCAAAGACTCTGATTTAATTGGCCCTGCTGTGGGACTCCAGCCTTTAGGTCATAAAAGCTCACGAGGTGTTCCTAATGTGCACTGGATTAAATCATTGTGTCTCAAATTTTAACATAAATTACCTGGCAGTGTTGTTAAAATGCAGATAACACTTCTCTAGGTCTGGGATGGGAACTGAGGTTCTGCATTTCTAACAATCTCCCAGATGAAGCTGGTGCTCCCAGATTTGGACCACACTCTGAATGAACGATCTTTAACGGTGGCTGTCAACCTTCAGTGCTCATGAGAATAACCCACAGGCTTGTTGAAAATGTAGCTTTGGGACCTGCATCTAGCCCTCACAAACTGTGTTTAACTTGTTTTAGGGACTCTGATCTATCGTGTCCATTTCAACCTCAACGTTCATGACCCTAATCTTGTGATTTTATAATATGACTTCCCTCCTAGGTCAATCATTCAGCAAAATAAGAGCATGAAGTGGAGTATGTGAGCTATCATTGAAAGATGAGTGAACTCAAGTTATATGATGTGAAGACATGGCTGATCTTGATGTCATGTGTATTTGTCAACCTCCAGAATTCAATTGAGTTAATGGGGGACCTTCAAAGAACGCCCTCTGTGTGAGCAGGATTTACTGTTGATAAATCGGTTGCAGACTAATCAGGAAAGCATCCTTCCCCAAGAGGAGGTGAACAAATGACCCTGGGCTTTGGTCTGCTCTCTGTAGCACATCACATTTTCTAAAGCAGAATCCCCAGGGACCTGGGTTTAGCTTCCCAACCTGGAGAGCAAACCAAGGAAAAATGGCTATGGAAGAAAGAAAACAAGCCGCTATTTCAGCAGAGCAGACAACTGACTTTTGAAAATCTCTGGGACTTCCAGAAAAATATGTCCCATGAGAGACTGGATAGCTTTCTTCCTTCTTTTTCTTCTCTCACACTCCTGGATTCCTCTTGCTTTTATTAGCTAGAAACATCCTCTTCTTAGGAACAGGCTTTTTACTACTTTACAAGAAAATTTGAAAAACAACTATGATGGGTCAAAAACATTACAATCCTGGTGTTGTTGCTTTGGATAACCATTCTGCACATAATTCATATAGAAAGGGTTGGTGTCCAAGAAGTTTATGAATTTGTAAATAAATTAATGCAAGGATGGTAATGGGGAAAATGAGAGAAACTCATACTTTATTTCTTTCCCCTTTAAAAGTATCTACACCTAGAAGAACTTTTGATCAGTCTGTAGAAATATCTGTATGAACTCAATAACGGACAAGTCAAAAAGGCAATAACCACACACCAGTTTAGCTGACCAACTCACCCATACTGTGTTCCCAGTTGGACCTTTTTGTACCAAAGAGGGACAACTTGACCTTCCTAATCCCTGTATACCTGGGCTGAACTGGCCAAGTAGAGAACTGCCCTGGGTTGCGATTCAGCAGCAGCACAAGGCTCTCACTGCCTCAGATGCCTTTCTCAACAGCCAGCCGCTGTGTCACCCTCCACCCACCCACCCTTCCTCAGGGCCTTGCCACCGGTAAGATGTGGGCTTTGTCATCCACTCTAAAACATGTGCATTTGGTTCAGAAAGGGAGGGGTACATGCCATGTGCCTCAGGCCTCTGTCCATTCACTTGGAGCCTTTTATCAGACAGAGGGGCTTGTTATTCAGGAAGGACTGTGGAGTCCGTGCTGAGTGGAAGGAAACTGCTGTAGAGAAGCCAGAGCAATGCAGTGACAAGCCCCACAGCTCAGTGGCAGCAGAGCTCCAGAGAGCAATCTCTGGGGGGTGATGAGTGGGGCTCTGGATAAGGTATTGGAAGCAAGGCGGACTCACCTTTCAAATGAAATGAAGGATTAGTTAGATAGGGAGTACCAAGACAAACTTACTATTTCTCAGTTTTGCCCTGAGGTAGGTTTTCATGGGGCAAGAAAATTATTGCTATGTTTAAACATTTATTTAAAATCTTTTTTTTTTTTTGCCAAAAATAGGTTAAACTCCTACAGTCACATTTCTTGTTTGCAATGCAATGGCTTCTTTATGAAATCTCAGAGGAGAGATGGACTTTGCAGGGATGTTTATTTTATTGATTTATTTATGTAGCATGTCTTATGTGGCAGATACTGTTTTAAGCACTATAAAACCTCACCTCATTAATGCACTTAACAACTTATGAATTAGGCACTGTTATTTGCAGAGGGAATTGAGGATCACAAAGGTGAATTTGCTCAGAATCACTGTAATAGACCCAGGATTTGAACCTAGGCAGTCAGGGTACAGGGTCTGTAACCATTTCGCTATCCTGCCTCTAATGCTGAGGGAAGTGTTCCTGTTCAAGGGTGGAAAGGCAGAAATTGGACTGGATTGGGCTGGTTCTTAAATGTGGCTCTCTAGGCTGCTGTGCTGGTTAGGTAATCACCACTGGCGTTCTTGCTCAAAATGCAAACTCCTATACCGTACACATGGATTTCTGATTCGGGAAGTCCGGGGGTTTTGGAAATCGACCTAGATGATGTTTAGGGAAACTTCCACCCTTACTATAAATAAAAAATTCTTTGATTGGAGCATCATTCTGATTACCCTAAAATGAATGTGATATCAGGAAGCAGCAGTCCCTTATGCTACCACCTCCCATACATTTTCTGACTTCCAGCTCTGGAGTTTAAACCACAGTCACCGATGGTGACAGTTCTGACCACTCCACCCCCAGGCTCCATCTGCTGACAACCACTCGGCTGCCTTAAGTCCTCGAGCCTCCCACAGCCTGCCTGCTTTCCTTCCATAGAAGCCTGAAGCCCACAGTCTTCTCATATGGTTAAGCCATCTCTACTGCAAGGCCAAGTGGATATCTTTGTTACCTATAATTAACTGCCACTCCCCTTCTTTGCTCTACCAACAGTTATGCAGCTCAGGTGAGTGAGCCCACCACCAAACGTTCTTCTTCCATTCACAGTGAATGGACCAGACTCAGCAATCAATGTTTAGCCACGGGAGTGGAGGTGGGATTGAGCCCTGCCTCAGCCCCCTTTCCCATCCAGCCTCCATTCTCCATGCTCTCCTCGTATCTTCTTACTTGCAGACCCAGAGGAGACTAAAGGTTCTGGCCAGTCTCTTACTCTTCTCCTATTTCAGTAACACTTACATGTCTTATTAAGTGGCTGACAGTAGCAATGCTGACTACATGCAGCCAGAGGGATGAACAAAATTAGCTATTACATCACTTTTGCAAATTTAAGCTCTGCTGATGAGTGCACTGACCCAAAGAAATCAACCAGATAATTTCCATCCCCTTTGACTTTAAGAAGGCTGAATCATGCCCAGGAAACTGGAAACAGTGAAGAAGGAGGCTTGCAAGCCCTCAAGATTGCCATGAGAAATTGGCTTGAGAGCGAGGTAAAGCCAATTTAGAAGAGATTACCAGGAAAGCCAAGACAGAATATTATCAGTGCACTTTGTGAAGTACTATCACCACCTAACAGTGAAAGAAGCCAGCACTAGGAAAACGGCATTTCCTTCTCAGCTCTGCCTTGTGACTTGTAAGAATTCAACTGCTTTTCTATTTAAGAATACAGGTATTGCCCCTCCTCTCAGTGCATCACTTGTACCATATGGAATATGCTCATCCTCAGGTTGCTTGGACTGACTACCCTAACTATTCCACGGAGGAGAGAAAATACGAAATATGCTTAAAAATTCTCCTGCCTATCAGGAGATCCCATGAAACACTCCAGCTTCTTTCTGTACTCTAATGTGGTGGCCGAACAGTCTAAATACACCCTTGAACAGAAGAGCAAGCCAACTGCAGCCTAATTGGCCATCTTAAAATATGGAATTAAAATGTACACATCAGAAACACTTCATAACAGGTATGTGCTTTACTGCTCTCCGAGTACACTGTTAATTTCTTGAGGCTGGAACTGCATTTATCTAAAACAGATAAGGCAGCTGTAGAAGCTCAAAGCTTATATAAGGAGCTCCTAATCTGGCCGGATTTCAGTGAGATAGGTCGGGGTGCCCTAGATCTCCTCAGGTGCAGTGCCTGCAAACCCAGCCTTTCTGGGAGGGTGTGGGGTGTGGGTGGGGTGGGGGGAGGGGAAAACATCCCTAATGCCTTTCAAACATATGCTTTGGGTGCAAGGAGGTCAGGGAATCATTTTCTAGCATAGCTCTCCAAGGGGCATTTGTACCCAAAGTTGGGTAGTTTGCCTTTTTATCTCATCCAAGAAATTTGGATTTATTCATTCTATTACATGCCTGCCTCAATTTCAGCAACAATCCAGTAGAGGTTATCAGTTTAGAAATCCCAGTCGTTGAAGTGCAGTAGAGCTCAACCTGCTACAGTCCACACTGCGTTGTTAATATAAAACCAACCTGCGAAAGAGGAATTTCCTCTTTCCCGTTTTATTACCTTGTGCTCCTTGACTGTAGAAGAATCTTTGAGCCGATTCAACATCCAAGAGTCTATGAGCAGACTCGACGTCCAGAAAATAATCCATTTTGGGATAGTCCATTCTCGATGTGCCAAAAACAGAGTTTTAAGACCAAGCAGTCACTTGTAAGCCTATGAAAGAAGAAAACAAAATTCACAATATTTTAGACTGTCAAATAGATTTTTAAAACTCCAAACATGTACATATTATATATAAATATATACATTTAAAATTTTTGGAATAAGAAATACCCCATTATAATAGCCCATTATTTGACTGACATTTCCAATTCTAAACACACCCATCAACATAGCTTTCCTATTGAATGAGAAAATGCAACATTTAACCAACATTCCTTTACAGTATATATACAGTATATACAGTAATATATTCTACCCAGAAAAAAAACAGATGACCCAGGCTAAAGAGAGAGAATGTACCAGTCTTTCCAGCTGTATAATAACTGAAAAATCTACTATTCAATTCCTGTGCAACCAGTTTTCAAAAGGTCTGGTAAATGGCATCATTAAGTGGGAAGCTTTCTGAGTACTGATCCTCAATTGATCCAATGAGTTCCGATTTCCCTTGAGTAGCAAGAGTGGCCTGGGAATCAGAACCTCCACTCATAGACGCTTTGCATTTATGACACATGCTGACATGTTTGCTGTAAAATGCCTTGAATTCCTTCCTTTCCAGTGATTCCCTCCAGCACATTTTGGAAAGTGCCACAGGATAGTCACCTGCTTGCCCCTGACCTAGGCTGCTTTTGAGAAAGAATTCTGGTTGCCAGAGCAGTGACAATGATTTCAGGATTGCAAGGATCCCCACAATATTATCCTGTCCTAGTCTGTCAGGAAGCTAATACACTTTATTACAAAACATTCAGCCTGTTGGGTTCTATTGAACATATGTATCCTTTCCCTGACACTCGCACAAATGAAATATCTCTATTTCTGCAGGATGTTTTTGGAAAGAATTAATTAAGACAAAGTCATTGAAATCAAGCCCAGAAGAATAATCCAGCTATTTCTCTTTCTAACAGTGCACATTTTAATTTAAGAAACCACATCTGGTAAGAAGAAACTTTTAAAAATAACCAAAGGTACCCCAACAGCAAATCATACTTACTGCAAAAAAAAATATATATATATCAAGGGCTAACCGCAGAAAATAAAAGCAAGAGCAATTTCAGTCAGAGTGTCCTTGATCTTACTAAATATTCCTGGTGAAAGTAAACAATTTAGATTCTTTGATTAGAACAGCAATGAAACATATACTATCCACTGGACTTGCTTTATCAGATAAAATGGCCAGAACATGTTACCTTAGCAACGGAAGGTGACGCCAGCCTCAGTCTCTTTGTATCCTCCACTGTGAAGGAAGAAAATGACCAGTTTCCTGTGTAAAACTTTGGCAGAAAATCATCATCATCAAAATCTACATGTAACCATCACGTGGGTTCATTCTCCACCTCCCCCCTGTGCCGCCCCCATCATCTCTTATGCAGAGAAGTGTCATAGTAATTAAGAAATGGTTTTTGGTTTAATGATTTATTTTTATGGCCCCCAATCCCAGTTTGATTTGCAATTATAACAGAATTACATGATTAAATAGTTAATAGGATAGGCAAGTAGTCTAGAAATTGTTGGGGGCACCAGTTCTTACCCTAATGCTGGCTAAGGGTGGTAGGAAAAAGTCATTTGAGCTAGCATATGTTAAACATCCCCTTGTTACAATTAATACAAAGATCAGCCATCGGCATCTAGGCTGAAAATAACTCTTGCCTTCTGTGAATCAGTCACTGGAAGAAGCTTAAAAAGCTGTCTGAAATCTCCCAGCTTTTAAAAGCCGCATTATAACATCGATCATTTGTGAAATGACCCCCTCCCCTCCTTAAAAGAAAGGTAGCCCCCCAAAATATATATGAAAGGAAGTATTAAAGTTAGCAGATACTCACCAGCACTTGTTGGCCCCTTTGAACAGGACACTGTAGAGCATAAAACGAAGCTGTGCGCGATGCTGAGCCCACGAGCCCAAATGAACAGCCTCTAATTTTCTCTTCAATCTCAATTCAAGAGCACTGAGCAGAGGAAAGTGATGGATTTGCCCATTTTATATTGTGATGAAACGCAACCCCTAAGAAGAGAGATCTGAGTGGAGCTGCTCTTTAGAACACATTAAAGTGCTAATTTAAGAAAATTGAAAGGTTTTGTTTTACTGTCTTTTATGTGTTCTCTCCGCTACCCCCTCAATTTAATTTGCATTTAAAATTATGCTCATGTCTCCTCGGTTCTCCAAGGTGTGGAGTGCTTTCTAATCATGACGGCGCGGCTGGGTAGGGTTTGGTGCAGCGCCACTTTTATCCTGAGCTGCAAAACGAGGTGGGTAATTATAAACTGTGAGCTGTTTTCTGGAGTGAAATGCAGAGTGAACATTTGATTTCACCCCCTCCCTTTTCCCTGGCCATTCTTTCTCTTCCTGCCTCTGATTGCTTGGTCAAATCTCCAGCCCAAATCATGCCAATCTGTCTAAATGCATTCCTCTCTGTCTGAATGTAACAAAATAATCCCAACAGCAAAAAGAACCTTTGGTTAGGTACCCGAGTTTATTCTAGTGGGACATCCTCTTTACTAAGCCTCAGTAAGGACTTGTAGGCACAATACTTTGGGGCTGCTCACAAAAAGCATAATGATTGCCAAATACAAGCCCTATAGTGGGTTTTCCAAAACCCTCTGGCACCCCTTGTTGACCAAGCAGAATTGTTAATAAGTAAGAGATGGTGTGTGGCATGTTTGTTAAGAAAAGGGAAGCTACACTTGAGAAGCCTTGGAAGGAAGACGACCAGACGCCCCCCTCTCATGTACAATAGCTCTGCTGACTGCTCTTGAGACAAACCTGAAAATCTGTTTGTCTTGTGAGTTTTCCTACCGAGTCAAAACAAATCAGACACCACGTTGGTGTTGGAGAGAGTTAAGCCTGATGAAAGAGAGAGCTAAAACTACCAATTAGCTGCCCTTGTAGGGAAAGTCGACTTTGCACTCAGGAATACAGGCATACCTTGGAGGTATTCTGAGTTCGATTCCAGACCACCACAGTAAAGCGAGTCATAATCTTTTTGCTGGTGGAGGGTCTTGCCTCCAATTGGTTAAAAACGCAACACCTGTGAAGTGCAATAAAGTGAAGCAAAAGGAAATGGGGTATGTCTATGCTCAAAGCTTTGCCCAGACCCAGGTACTTAACTTTTCTAAGTTTACATTTCTATTCAGCCCCCAATGGAGACATGCTGAACACTTGACATTTTACAAGAAAAAGCTGTCTTCTGGTTTCTTTAGCTTTCAGTAAGGTGTGGGCGACAGGTTCTGAACTCTCCCTATTGTGATTCTGCTGAATTGTGATGACTCATAGGGGAAAGAGAGAGAGAGAGAGAGAGAGAGAGAGAGAGAGAGAGAGAGAGAGAGAGAGAGAGAGAGAGAGAAGAGAACACAGTCTACTGCTGCTGACAAATGCCAGTCATTTAGGTGAGCACAAATGAATGTATGATTGAAGACAGACATGCTAAATTGGAAATTTGAAAATTAGAGTTGATTCCCAAGGGTTAGGGGACGAGTTTAGAAGTCTGTCATTTCTGGGAAGTTGATCAAGAAAGGGAAATTTGAAGTGTCTTACATATAATGTGAAAGGGTCATGATTTAAGAAAACTCAGAAAGGAAATTTTCAACTTAGACAAAAGAAAATATATTTGGAAAGGGGATGACTATTCACTTGCAAAAAAAGACTTCATTTTACTAAATATTAATTACTAGGCTCTTTAAAATAAATTGACCAGTTTCTGAAATAGATATACAAAAAGTGATTTTACTCTCTGGGAAGCAGAGCTATAGGCTACACACAGGAATATCTGCAAGAGGAATTAATTTTAAAGGAGGGGAAGCATTGTAATATTCAAAAGACAATGTCAAAACCTGATCTGTTCAGCTCTGTTTTATAACTTTAGTTTTCTCAAAGGCAACATTTATAATGGCCCATTGTTCAGAGGTATAATAGAACCAGACAGAGAAGGAGGCAAGGTTAGAGCAAGTATTCAGACTAACACGTATGCAGCACCCAGCAATTCAGCCCCAAACATTCCTAAGACAACAACTCTGAAACTTAGCTCAGTGTTAACATATTTTAGTGAGCTAGAAATAAGAAAAATTATTTTAAAAAGGTCAAAGTAGAGTTATATTTTTAATTACAGTATGAAAGTTTAGAACTATAATGCTGAAGCAAATCTATGATTATTAAAAATACATGACATGGCAGAGATGTGTATACTTTTCTGTTCATTTTGGTGGTAAGAGGAACTGTGTGTGAGTGTTTTATGTACAAAGGGCAGAAGTATTTGATTAATTCAAAATCGAGGCATATTTCAACACGGAATCTGGAGACCAGTAAAGATATCAGCTTGTGTTAATTTATCTTTGGGGTGTACATATTTATTTTATTGGACAGCACAAGACCCCAATATTATGGGAAAGGTCATGTGATTTGTAAGTAGACGACTTGCTTTTGCTCTTTTTATATCATCTGATTGACTTCCATCAGAGTCAGAAGGGGTTTTTCCTGCTTGCTAAGCAATAAAGAGGTTTGTGTTATTGACAATTTTACAATCAAATTTACTTATTTCATTATCTTAATGGTCTTGTATAATTCCACAGCTCTCTAAAAGACCATGTTTTTATATTTGTGTTGGAATACATGAAGTTCTGTCTTCAGCCTGTGTGAAATCTTAGGGAAATTCCTCTTTTACCAACAAACCCAACTAATTTAACTTTAAAATATTGAAGCTGTCTTAAAGTGTGGGGACATTTTGTATCCTTTGGTGGGGTAATAGATTGAAGATCTTTGGTTAAGTGCTAGCTTGCTAAACACGTTTATTTATTTATTTTGCAAATGGTTAAACTCAGAATATGTTTCAATAGCAGTGGTTTCTCTCTTCTTGGCAAATCACTCTCTTCTGTGTCAACCCATCATGCCAAAGAAATCTCTACTTCCTTGTTCATTAAAGCCTGTCATTAAATGGTAGGGGTACTTTTTAACATTTTACTTGAGGCCTTATTCATATTGAAATCTCCCTGGGAGAGGAAACACTTTAATCCGTCATCAGTTACTTTTACTTTAGAGTTAATGAATTTCCAGACTTTTTGTTGTGAGAAGATTTTGATGATAGTTGGGAAGCTAAAGAAGGTTGGAAGGGTTGGGAAGGTAGAATGAGGGGGGGAAAAAAAGTCTCACAAAGAGGAGGAGCCTAATTTTATTCCCTGTAAATGTGCAGTCATGTTTTGAGGGCTTACTTATGTTTAAGATGCCAGGTACTCAGCTGGAAGAGAAAGGCATTAAATCCATAAATACCTTCATTTGAACAGGGCCTGAAGCTGCTCTGAAAGACCAGAGGCAGAATCTTAAATCTTACTCAAGAACATTATGTCTAAGGAGTGAGTTTCTCTCTGTCCATCTTCAGGTAGTAGGAAGATAATTCAAAACAAAATCATGGTGCCCTCTGACTTTGAAACTGCACTGGTGAGTGCCACACTGGAAGCGAGGTGGCATTGGCCAATATGGCAGAAGCGAGACCCAAGAGGAGGGAAACATTTGGTGCTACTTGCCACCCACTTCTGAAACTTCCTTTCCCTTTTTCATAGAAGGGCCAGTTCACAGAGAGAAGAACAAGAGCTCAGAACGTCATTTTACCCTTCTACCAACTGGATTCTAGTAAGTTGATCTTATAATATGGAAATTTCTTTGCTTGGCAGAAAGACTACTCGTAAATTATATCTCTATCTCAGTGTTTATCTTGTTGATCTGGAAATAGGGAAATGAACAAATGTGGAATAAGAAATGAAGAATTCTTAAGCAACTTTCTATTTACTATAACTCTCAAATCCCTAAATAGAAAGACATGTAGTAGCTTTTTTTTTTTTTTAAAGATTTTTAAAATTTTTTTATTGAGGAAGGGGAACATTGTGTTTTTCCAGGCCCATCAGCTCCACGTCAAGTTGTCCTTCAATCTTAGTTGTGCAGGGCGCAAGCTCAGCTCCAAGTCCAGTTGCACTTTCAATCTTAGTTGCGGGAAGGGGGGAGGGGTGGGGGAGGGGGAAAGCGCGCGTGCAACCCACTATCCCATGTGGGAGTCAAACCGGCAACCTTACTGCTAAAAGCATGCACTCTCACTATCCTAGTGGCAGCTCAGCTCAGGCGCAGCTCACTGACCCATGTGGGAATCGAACCTGTGATCCTGTTGCTCAGCGCTCACGCTCTTAACTAACTGAGCCACTTGGCCAGCCCCTGTACTAGCTTTTTAGAACACAAATTTGAGGATATATTATAATGATATCTGACTTATTCCCTTTGGCAAGAAAATCTCATTGCTCTCATTTCTTTATGTGTTTGTGTATAATTTATTTTCTACTATCCTGGAAGGGTCTAAAAAAGTTAATCACAAGTTCAATTGCATTTTCCTAGTCCTCCTAAAAATCCAAAGAAAATACCCAAAGAAATGTTGAAGAAAGAAGGACAAATGATCTCTGAGGACCACAAGTGTAATAGGTGCTACACAAAAGATATGGCCCCTGAACTTCCAAAGCACGTTAGGAAAGTGGGATTGGCTATAGCAGTGAGAACCCACAAGGAGTGAGTGTGAATTGTATCTGAGCTGTATAAGACATTTTTAGGTCATTACAGTGTCACTTTTACAATCCCACACTAACATGGAAAATGAAGATTGCCAATAGATAGATTAGATGGATGGCTAGATAGATGATAGATAGGTAGACAGTTGTATGTAGGAGGTAGAAGTAGCAATTAGAAATAGAGATAGAAATAAAGAAAATGATCAAAATGAACTTAGACATAGTGGTAACCTTGAGCTACCTATTTTTGTGTTCCCAAGAGCCAATAAAACAAACAATCAAACAAAAACAATATAAGTCTAAGGAATTTTGGTAACTGTTTCATTCATTTTAGGTTTTGAACATACTAACAAATTCTATGGCAAGGTCTATGTGCTTAAATATTAATATTAAATGTTTTTCTTATGCATATGTACAAGGCTAGTTGATGCATATCTTTGCATAACAAATATTATGGGTTGTCAGAAAAGTCATGATGTATTTTTTTCTGTTTTCATTGCAAATATGCATCATGACTTTTCCAACAACCCAATATTATTGATAACACAATCCTTGATTTGATTTCAGAGTTAAATGTTTTCACAATGTATCACCTGAAGGCACCGAGGGGTATCATTTTATAGGTATCAGGTTTCCAAATCAGCATTCTCTCCTAGTGGATTGAAGGTAACAGAAGACCTAA